ATATATATATATATAAAATGTCCAAAAGGGAGCATACGATCTTAAGATAACATCTAAAAGTGAATCCTCAGTTACAGAACAACAAACAAGCTGTGGTTCCCATGCATGCTTACCCCGAGTAGTTATTCTCGCTGCCCACATCAATAGTTTCATTCATGTCGCTGTCGGACGTGCTGTCCTCACAAGGCCGCTTCATGATGCAGTGCGAGTGCGCACAGGTACAGTCACCAAACCTTCTGAGCGTCTTTCCCACGAACCGCTGGAGCCTCAGTCTCACATTCACGCCCACGTCCTGCTTCGGCAACACCCACCGAAAAAAAGAAAACACGCCCCGAGCCACCGAATGGAGGTCTCAAACTTCATTCCCCTGATAATTGACTCTGCCCAGCTTCAGCACTCGCGTTCTGCACCCGAGGGCCCCAGAAGCGTGAGAAACACTTTACACAAGAAAGGCGACGGTGTTTCAGAGCCTGACAGAGCTTGAACAGAGTGCAGATAGGCAGGGAATCTAGGTAAAGGGTTTCTGGCAGGGCTAAGATGAGGATGCAGAGTGGCTTGCCAAAATGTAGTCAGGTTTATTCAGTGTACGAATTATTTCATGATTTTAAGGAAATTTTAAAGAAGATTTTAAGAAATTTTTGTCAGCAGTTTTGGAAGTTCATCTCGCGCATGCCAAATCGCTCATAGGCTAACTCTTCATATATCTAACGAGCGATTTATGCTATATTTTTATTTAGTTTAAAGGGGTGGTTCACTGGTTTTTTTCTAGGCTTGATTGAGTTTATGGGGTGCAGTCTAACGTGTTGATGCTTATTTTTTTTTTTTTAAATTTATTTTTCACATTTACCTTTATTCCACACCGCTCTGTCCCTTCTCTGAGAAACGGGCTGATCTTTTCCTGTTTTTAGAAGCCCCGCCCTCAGAAATAGGCATGGCCTCGCCCCCTTTGCTGCCTTTTCCCAAGGGCGAGGTTTATCAGGGTTTGTGATGTCACAAACCCGGGAAGTACCTTGTTGTAGTCCCTACCAGCCGTTTTTGTAGGCATTAAACTGCCAGAATTTTAAAAGATGATGTCTCCATTTGCATTGAACTTTCAGCTTCGTAACTTTGCAGATA